TACGCGAAGACATCTTAGGGGGTACGTGAAATTTTTAAAAAAATATATTATTTTATGATAAACACTGAATAATCAGTAATATAATTTATTTAATTTATTTTAGATGTATATTATATACTATGTATAACTCGAATTATACACCAACAACTTTGGGGGTACAAAGTTGAAGAGAAATTATATCTGGGGGTACGCGAACAAAAAAAGTTTGAATACCACTGGTCTAAGTTATTCTGTAGATAACGAGCAGGCAAGCACTACGAGGGCGTTGCTTACCTGCGAGCACGAAGAGCTGCTAAATGCCATCAGACTTGTCGGCGAACACCTGATGAGGCTGGTGAGATCCACGACGCCTTCCCCAAGAGGAGACGAGGACATCGCTTGCGTTCCTCCCCTGACAGTCGTCGATTTCGCCGAAGACCTTCTGGTGCTAACAGAGGAACTGCTCATGTTAAGAAAGTTCATATGCACCTCATTCTGCATGTGGAGGTTTTTTGAAATAGAGCCGATTGGTGGTAACATCTGAGGATGGTCGTCAGAGACCTGAGGTGATATTGTCAGGAGTCCGTCGCTTTCATACGCACATCCGGTGCCCCTAGAAAGTGAGGTTATGTCGTCTCCATTGTTCGCTGACGACGACAGCAAATCGTCATTGCTGCCATCCAACGCGCTGGATTCATTTTTCCCTACGCCACTCATCGGAGGGAAATTTATAAACGCGTAATGTTCACTGTTTTCAAATTTGACTTCCTGCTTCGTGTCTTCCACGTGTTGATGCTGCACTGTTTCTGAGTATGGAGAATGGGCTTCGATTTTGGGGGACACTGGAATGAGACTGATCATGTAATTGTGGTTATTGTGGTTATGGAAGGTTGTGGAATAGTTAGGAAGCGTTTCTGAGTCGGTCACAACGATAATATCACTTGTAGAGGATAGAGGCATGTTTGACATTTCTTGGGAATGTACAGGAGAGTTATATGCTGGGAAATTGTGATTTACGAAACGAGGAAGAGCTGGTCGGTGAGAGAGATTGTACGAGGATGGGCTCAGGGGTAAAGGCGCCGACGAGTTACACGTCGGAGCGTAACGCGTTGAAAATATACCCGGGGCCGTCGCTGCGACAGTTATGGTTTCGAGGTGCATGTTTCGACTCTGCAACCCTGCGTCGTCTGCAAACGAGAAATAGAAACGTAATAGGTTTTTATTTGAAGTTTAAGAATGCAAAATACGAATGCGTTGAAATTTTTCAGTGAAACATAAAACATACACAGAGTTTAGATATTCCTTTTTAAAATTACACATTATTTTTATATGGTCCGTTGTGTTGACGTTTAGACCTTAATGTCATATTAAAATTATATTGAACTGGCAGTGGTGTATGTATTTGTTGAATATCAGGTACATAGACACGTGTTCTTTTTTCTTATTTGAATCCAAAATAAACACGAACGTTTAACGTACAAAGTGACGAGATTAGTTTTTAACAGGCACTACACTAGTTCATAAATATTTGTCAACTTCGCGGGGAAATTTCGTAAAGGAAATACAGATACAAAAAAATATTTTTAAAAATGTCCACTACTTACTCGTAAATGCAGCTGGAAATTTGCTTTCGGAATCCTAAAATATTTTCCAAAATTGCAAATGTCATTAACAGCTCGATGAGTTATTACCACGTAGATCACCGGTTGAATATAAAAATATCGTAAACACAAAATGAAGTGGCGTCTGAATACGTTGAAATGAAACTTGCATCTGAATGCAAACGCGAGAATCAAAATAGAATGTCATTCAAGAATCAGAGAGAGAGACTTTAGTATAACAAAAACACGTTTTAGTCCCTCACTCTTCTATGATTGGCTTGAACAGAATCGTCTACATTCTCATTGGTTGAACATATTCAGCATCTCTTTGAGATACATCAATAATTTCAAAACTTTACTCATAGGGTTCGCCTTTCAAGAAAGGTACAGAATCATCTGTGACATATGTGACGAAAGTCTGTGCCTTTAGAGTCATAATCGCTTGTCACGTATCTCAGACACGCCTTGCACCCAGCGTCTTATGAAACACGTTATAAAATGTGCATTGAAGAATGTCGTTCCATCTCCACATCCGTACAAAAACAAAAATAAATAAATCCTCATGAAGAACATTTCTGTTGCCTTCCAAAATTTGTAAACACAAAGAATAATAACTATTTCACCAACAGCGGAATATCAGTGACTGGAGTCTGTATCTCAAATGAGATTTGTTTGTCTCCACATCTTATCGATCTTGAGGATCAGAGAAAGATAGGCTGATGAAAACCAGTTCCAGATAAATATCAGTCATAATTAACCCTTTGAAGTCATAGCTCGTCTAAATATTACGTATTTAAGGTTTCAGTCCGTACCGCGAAGAAAACACTTCACTTCACCATTACAAAGATCAACTGGTTAACCCTTTGAAGTCATAGCTCGTCTAAATATTACATATTTAAGGTTTCAGTCCGTACCGCGAAGAAAACACTACACTGCAACATTACAAAGATCAAATGGTTAACGCTGTTTAAGGAAATAATCGCTGTTTACAGTGAGAATCACGCGAAATGCTCATCAAGTCTCCAAGGTAAGGAATCTTTAGTCAATACACTACAACTCTGAAGATGGAGGCAGTATGTTTTCCGAAACGTTGGTATCTACAGACGAGTCTACACGGCGCCGTGACCCAGAAGATGATCATCTTCACCGCCGTGAAATCTCATATATTTTCACTCAAGTTGACTGATTTTAAGGTACTGCCCACGCATTTGCCTGGTGGGACTGAGGAAAACGATGAAGAAGCTTTCTGATTCATCGAGATTCTTCCCTGTCTTACATCTTTTCCTTTGAGTTACACAAGTAACATGTTTATGTGATGTTAATATCGAAGATACTTCATTGAACCTTGAAAGTTAGTGATTAATAATCGTGTCCCGAGGCTAAAGCTGTTGGAAATCGTCTACTCCAGGGGGTCTGAACCTTTTTCGCTGGCGTACCACTAATTCTAATTTAATACATTAAATGTACCACTAACCAAATGCGTTCAGGTAAAACTTATGTATTTTATTTAGTGTTCTGTCTGACGACAGGTCCATATGAACAGGATCCTTCCATCCTTTTCTCTTCTCGGACTGGGACCTGTTCATATACGTTCTTGGCAGATGATCCAGAAGTGGCTTGCCATTGCCTTCTTCTGTGTGTGAATGGAGTAATTGTTGGGATGCCACGGAGGAAAACTCCGGGCTGCCTAGACCACGGCCTTGCCCACCACAAGTTATAAATTCGGCCACCGCCGGCAATCGAACCCGAG